TGAAACCTTGCGGGAGTCTGAAACTACTCATGACATACAGGCTATCCCCCAAAATATTGAGAATAGGCACCCAGTGAATTCAACGGGATGCGCAACTCAAACTACAGACGAAATCGTCCTATGTCGGCTTTCCGACGTGCGGTAAGTAAATAAATAAACTAAATTATTCAATGCTATACTATAAACTATTCTATTTTAAATAAACTATTCTATGCATCGTGAACGTGTAATGCTTGCAAATCCGCTTGAACACGAACATGGCAAGTACAAAATAAGACAATCATCATGGCATTCCTTCTATAGAAGGAATGTTAATGTGCGAGCTTTACGTGCCATAGCGCACTCGAGCACCATTATCACGACAGGGACTGGGGCACACACGCACAAAAATAAAGAATATGGCGATAGCCGCCGTCCATACTTTTATGTGCGTTTTGTGAGGGTGGGGGAGGTGGTACCCCAACCCACGGTTACTATACAGCGATATTTTCAAGGCGCCGCAAACCTTCCCGCATAGATAGCAAAAGAATAGAGGGGTAGTAGGCGGGCGCCGCGGTGCGGTGAAAGCAGCGGCCACGCCCCTTTCTGCATTTACGCCTCCTCCGTCCGAATGGGACGGCCAGAGCGACACCACACCGCGCCCCGATCCAGGCGGCCGTGCTTCAGTTCGTACAGTTCGCCAGATATCTGTGAGGCAGCGCTCAATGCCTACCCGATTCCGGCGGCAGCGGAAATGCGGAGCCGGGCGTCTGCCAGCATGGTGCTGTTCAGTAATGCAGCTAGCACCTCTGATACGGTAACAAGTATAGTGAACCAGACTATTCTAGTTCACTATAGTATAGTAAACTATAATATAGTAACAAGTGTGATGGCAACCTGAAAGGCAGCATCACGTGACCTTTGTTGCAGTCGTTCGCCGCACGCGCCGCTCGTTGCCTTTCTTCAGAGAAAAAAAGGAGGGAGATGGTGTGGAACCGGGTTAACGTACCACGCGGCAGGCATCTAGTGAATGAGGCATTGGCCCAGCATATCGCAGCTCCAGAAAATGCTCCATGTACTGGCCACACTGGTAACAAAACAAAGATGGCTACCCTCTACAGAGCTAACGCGGCACTTTCGCTTGGCGCTGTTAGAGTGTACCAGAAAGCTTCTAGTACACTCTAGCGCTGTGCTGAATGAAGTTTCTTGATTGTGACATCGGAGGTGGAAGGGTGCTGGTCACCGGCCGCTTCATTCTCATCGCCATGAAGGATTTAACTGGCAAAACATAGGCAGTCCAAGATCGAGCCTCCTCGGTGAACCGCATCATATTTACTTCAAGTTGAAGAATCTGACCAGCGAGTTCGAGGTGGTTAAAAAAAAAAGAACTGCTCATGTGTACCGGGCCCCTCCGAAAAGTACAAGCGTTTGTGCGTTGCGTTGCTGCACTGCTACAGGTAAGGTCTTCACTTTTCGAGGTAGCTCTGTGCTGCGACTCGTGTCGCATTGAGTTCGTGTTGTGCCGTCAAAAGCTGAATACGCATGCCATTCACTTGATTACAGAACGAAGCTATATCTGGGTTAGCCGTGTATCTTGAAATTGGGCAAATCGTAGTTTCAGTTGTAATAGGTGTGCTTCTTTTTGTTTGTTTGTCAATCCATATTATTAGGTTTGTAATAGATAAGGTCGTGTGCTTCCCAACACTCGCCTGTTTATGTTGACAGCGTTTAATATTCGAAGCAGATATTTACACGCACATTGCGCACGCGCGAACTCGAGTACGCTGTGGTTGAATTCTCCATCCCACCCCCCAAAAATGTCAGTCATACGACCTTGGTGGAATCAATAATCAGTTTAAAAACTCGTAACTCTTCAAGGTTAATTTTTTAATTAGCCACATTATGATTCGGAAAATTAGCGATCGTTTATTCAGTGTGATGGTGATAAATGCATTCACTCGGAAACAAGCCTGTTCCAACGTAAGTTCCACTGCACTGTGTCGGAAAAAAACCAAGCGATGCGCCCACAAGTGGAACGCTTCAAAAGCTCAAAACAATCGCCTTTTGCAGTTCCTCCTAAATTTCTTGCGAGCTGACGAACCTCAACTGTCACCGTGCCGCTAAAAAAAACACACACACACACAACACCGTCTTTGACACTGCAAAGAACACGCCGGCGGAAACACCGCAAGTTTGTCATTAATAAGCGCAATTCATGTTTGACTACTACAGTTAATGCGAGAAAAACGTACAGTGCGTCGCGCGCGGAACAGCACGAGCGACAGCTCCAGTTTCAAAAAATACGCCACATCAGAGCATGCGCGGCGCCAGTGATGTGTCATCCTTGCAGTTTCCACCCTTCTTTATCTCTCAGCGACCCCGATGACTGCCTTGGTCGTCGAAGCGCTGATCTGATTGGCTGTCATGGGTTGTAAAATGCGCGGAAGTAAGAACGGCTGATAGGGTGGCGGCACCTGTCAGACCACTCCGCAATCTTTGTCTTGTTGCCAGACGGCCTGAGTGCTGCCGGGCGCACTTATGTGATGGCCTCCAAGACTGCGCGCAACCTGTCGGCGTGCGATCTCGGAGGTCTAGACTGGTAAAAGTTCGACACTATAGAACCGAAAGGAAAGACAAAAAAAAAAAAAAAAGAAACCAGCCCGGATATGCGCCTTTTATACTCTAAACTTATTCTCGTTTCCCGATATCATATCACATCGAGAACGGTTTGATTCGGTTTTCTTGTTTTTTTTTCTGCTTGTTTTTTTTTGTTTCTTTCGCTGAATCGTTCAGAGTGCATTCGACGGCCAAAGCGGTTGTTGCATCCGCGGTGATAAAACAGATATCACTATTGCAAGGCAGGCACACACCACTGGCGCTCCGCATGCTCGGATGTGGCGTACTTGGGACTGCAGGTGTCGTCCGTCGTTGTAAACATGCGAGTTGAGCACTGTACGGTCATCGCCAGAAACGTTTTTTTTTTTTTCTGAGAGGTAGTTCATCTTTCATTTATGCATATTCGCACGTGCGTTTATACGCGTGCATGTACGTACACAGATGCGAAACCGAAATTTTTTGCGGGGTGAATAATTACAGCAGCTTAACTTGATAATCGGTAGCACTGCGACTTGCACAGAAAACAAGCGTATATACACGCGAAAAATGCACTCAAAAGGCATAAAGCAACAAATTTTCTAAAGCGCTTGCTCTTATAAACCGAAACTGTACTCCGCTTTCTCAGAAGGCCCAGTATTGACATGAATGCACGCATGCTAAATGATGGTGTTGTCATACGGGAGAATGTAGTCGTCGCGAGGCGATGTGATTAGAACGAATCCCCGTAGCATCCGTTACCTACGCGTAAGCTTCTGGTCTACGGCGTTCTGCGCCGCGCGTCGTCTGCATCCTTCTGGAAAAGATAGAACGAGACTTGCTGCCACCTTTCGGCCGCTATTCCACGCATTGCGGCACACGTACATCATGATGATGATGATGAACCTTCAGCTTTGCTGGCACTCGCCCACAAAGGCGGATCGGCCAAGAACCGGGCGGCAGGATCATCAAGTGTGCTAAGTCGGGCATTCAGGTAGTCTCGTATCCGTAGATAATAACAATAGGCTAACAGGGTAATCTCTTTGTTGCCCCTATGTACTCGCACACAGAAGACAAAACTTCCCTGTGGCTATAACCTAATGTAATCCCTCCGAAGGATAAAATTAGTTCCACGTTTATTTTTAAACCTAGCTTCTCAATTGGTTCGACCAGGTATCTTTTCCTTTGATAAGCATAACGTTGACAGGATAAAAAGAAACGATCTATTGATTCCGATTCCTTGCAAAAGAGACACAACGGAGATGCTGTTAGTCCAGCTTTATGTAGGTAGTAATTCAGATGCGGGATTCTGCATTCAACGGTCTTTGGACATCGCTTTCTTCTTTTTCTTGCTCACGCGCGTGGCATGGCGAAAATAAAGGAAATGTGCGACCGCTTCTAAACGCGAGCAACGTGGTAATCCTTTCAAGGTTGACCCTGTTCGTGGCCTCCGCGATCGGTCGCGCCGCCGGCAGCCGATCGCGGAGGCCACGCCCTGTTTGTGCCGTTTCCAAGCGCGACCGCTAGGTGGCGAGCGCTCGCTTGGAATCGCTTTAGGAATCGCAAGTTGACTTTCGTTCGACGAAATACGGGTAGGGTCACGTTTCCGCTCTGGTTGAGGAGCGATTGACGGGCATGTGTCGCACACGAGGCTTTGTTTATCGCGCGCGCTCTTCGCGTTATCTTAATGGCCGGCATCATTTACATCTGCGTCAGACACGTTCAACAGCGTCTCGCGCGCTTTCACTCCCACGTATTTCGTACGGGGCGATTATTATAATCGATTTGGATTTTACACGCAAAACGACGGCGAAACGCACACCGAAAGTGTCGCAACGAAATCGCCAGATTCCGTTTTTTGGAACGGCACACCGCCCCGGAATGAGCAAAAAAAAAAAAAAACTCCCAAGCATTTCCCCGAGGGTGAACATGGTTAAGTGCGAATACACGGGGTGATGCCATGAGGGGTATTTATTAATTCGCACTATTATATTTATTAATCACACTATGGTGCCTTTATGGTGTAATGGTTCCTGGGAATCGCAATTTGATCACACGGGGGAGTCAACGTTAGCTCACTGGCGAATGCCAACGGATTTTAACCTTACTCCCCCTCACCACCCGCTCTCGACGGGAGACTGAGAGAGAAGGCGGGCGCGCGAGAGAGAGGGGTGCGCGCGCAGCTGCAGCGAGCGAGGAGAGCGGAGGAGCGGGCGAAGGGGGAGGGGGTATAAGGCGCGTTACTGACACCGATATCAGCGTCGCGTCCGTGGCTTATTCGGTAGAGCGTCGCGCTGCGGCCCGCCAAGTCCTCTTTCTTTTAAAGATAGAGAGAAGACTGCGGACGCCGCCGACGGCGGTGGATGGTTTGGGGTCGCTTATAAAGTGTATTCACACTTAAAATGCAAAAATTCGTAGCGGATGCTCACCGACGACCACGATGTTGAACTCGAACCCTCGCCTGAGGACCTTCTTCCGTATCTGCTCCTGGAGCGTGTCGATGCCCACGTAGCCGGCCACGTCGGTCTTCAGGCTGCCCCAGTGGGTCGTCTCCGTCAGGGCGTCGGCCATCATGAGCACGAAGTCGTCCACGCTCAGCTCTCCTGCAGACGACAGAGCCGTCGTGTAAAACAAAAAAAAAATCATTTTCCTGGCCACAATCACATCCAGTTTTGCTGTATTCAATATGCATCCACAAAGACTTGTCGGGAACACTCGTTGCAGACTGCGCTTCTTGTGTTAGAGAAGCCCTCACGATTGTAGTAGATTGTTTTGTTGAGATTGCGTGCGAGACGCGAACGGGGGAGCTTATTCCAGAGCCTGCTCGACCATGCACTATGGCGATGATAAGGCTGGAAAGTTCGATGCGTTATGTACGAGAGACGGCGCGTCCCAACGATGATTAGTTTAGCTTATCAATGCCCGACTCCCTGTTCATCGCTATCATTGTACAGCGTGCATTGCTGTAGTGTGTGTTTCCATTTCCCGGTCACAAGTTCGGACAAATAATGGGGTATCATCTCTGGGCACGCCGACTGGTGCCTTCGTCTACTTCACAAACCTGTGGCACTGTGTATGAAGGGGAAACTTTTCAAAGGCTAGGCAAGGGCGTTATTGAGAGCGGGGGGGGGGGGGGGGGGGGGCATTAAAGAAGGGGCGACCGCTCCAGAAAATTTTCACCAGAGCTCTTAGAGCACATAATAAACCACAAAGCACCAGTTGCCTTCTTTCTTGCCCCATCCGCCTCTACAACCTTGAAGAAACTCGGTTATCATGCCTGTCCGCCCTCCCCCCCCCCCCCCCTCAAATAGATCAGTTAAGACTGAAAACTCAATAAGGCCTAATGTGGAAATATATGAGCGCACAAGGTAGAAGGAAGGAAGTACTTGACAGGAAAGACGCTCGACTTACAACTGCAGTTTTATTATAGAAAAATAATTCATTGCACGATAACGTCGAAACGCGCAGGCGCAACCAACTGTCACTAAAAGGCGTCACCTTCCCCCCCCCCCCCCCCCACGAAAGGTATGTTTATCTCCTTCAACTGCTCAAAAAACTGATCCGTTTTTTACTTAACGCAACCGGGGGAACACCGATACACGTGTATGTGCTTGCGTTCGCCCAAATCTGTTCTGCTTCCATGATTTCTCTTGTCAATCTCAGTTTTGTTTTGACCAGAGAAATCATGGGAGGAGAGCAGATTAGGGCGAGCGCGAAAAAGTTAATTGATTTACCATCATAATTAGCCTTTCAAATATTATCTTCAACCCTCTTATGATGCCTGCCATTGTAAAAAAAAAGCAACTGTGAAGACAGCGAGAGAATGCGCCCCTTCCTGATTTTTTTTTTTTTTGATATTGGACACAGTTCTTGAAACACCCTGTATATACTGTCAATACTAGCGGTGCGATATATATATATATATATATATATATATATATATATATATACACTTATCGCGTTTAGTGAAGATGAAGCCAAGGCTTTCGTCCTAGAGAGACACTGTTTTGCTCTATTTGCAGCGAATCGGTTCAAATCACTTAAATATTTATTCTCTTCAATTACACCAATAGTATGCTTATTAATTGGGCAGAAAGGCATTGTAAAAATTTGCCTTTCGAAATTAGGCGTTCGAGTCTCCTCTCCGTGCCGGACGTCACTGACTATTAAAGCATATGTTTTCTCGCATTTTGGCCGCCTCGGTCCAAGGAAATTTCCTGAAACTTGGTATGTTACGTTCCGGGCCCTTCAGGAGACAATGCACTTCGCCGAGACTCGTTCTAACTATACGTATATAGCACAAGGTACATGATTGATTGATATGTGGAGTTTAACGTCCCAAAACCACCACATGATTATGAGAGACGCCGTAGTGGAGGGCTCCGGAAATTTCGACTGCCTGGGGTTCCTCAACGCGCACCCAAATCTGAGCACACGGGCCTACAACATTTCCGCCTCCATCGGAAATGCAGCCGCCGCAGCCGGGATTCGATCCCGCGACCTGCGGGTCAGCAGCCGAGTACCTTAGCCACTAGACCACCGCGGCGAGCCAGCACAAGACATATAGATGCAGCTTAGAAGTACTTGTTGTTGGGCTAGTTGGTTCGTCATACTGAGGGGTGATTCTGGACGCCTAAAGCACCACAGGAAGAAATAATCACAGAGAAAGAGCGTCAAACTCGCAACTGATTTATTTGCAGGAGAAACGCAGGAAATATCTAGCCGCACACGCATGTGCAGAGCACACTACTTCACCTAGTCACATGACCACAAACATAAACTGAGGACGTCCAACCGGCATATCTAGTCAAGCAACGAAGCGCAAAAAGCAAACTCAGACTTGCGCAAGACGACCGACGCGTCACTTATACACAAGTCACTCATCGGCCAAGCTGGACGGTGTTTGAACGTGAGAATTAGGGAACATGCGCTTTCAATTCGAAATAGTTCCGGAGCACATTTGCCTGCGCATTGCCGTTCCTGTTCTTGTGAGGCGAGGTTTTCAAGCGTTTCTGTCATCGCCAAAAGCCCAGATGCTCTGGCCCGTGAAATAATGGAAGCGTTCTGGATAAAGAAAAAAAGGTGACTTGTGTATAAGTGACACGTCAGTCGTCTTGCGCAAGTCTGAGTTTGATTTTTGCGCTTCGTTGCTTGATTAGATATGCCGGTTGAACGTCCTCGGTTTATGTCTGTGGTCATGTGACTAGGTGAAGTTGTGTGCTCTGCGCATGCGTGTGCGGCTATATATTTCCTGCGTTTCTCCTGCAAATAAATCAGTTGCGAGTTTGACGCCCTTTCTCTGTGATTATTTCTTCCTGTGGTGCTTTAGGCGTCTAGAATTACCCCTCAGTACATAGATGCCGCCAAAAAACCGAAACAATATATGACATCGTGACGTTTGAGGCGGGCATTTCAAGGTGGCGTGACCACCCCGCATTTCGCACGTCGTCTTGCTTGCCAAGCGTGTTCGCGCGGCAAACGTGACGATTTTTTTCGAATTGCGCGAGTGTACGATTAACTAACACCAGAAAGATCGCGTTTTTTTTTTTCTCTTCAGTGTCCCTTCAAATTTGCGTGCAGGCCCTTCTTTTCTTCCCATTTTTTCGGTCCAACGCATATCGTCACGCGACGCGCTCGTCGCACCACCGCCACGTGCTGCCGTGTAACAAACATATAAGAGCAAACCTCGTAAGCGCGAAAATGCACGCGGCAGCGACGAGCGACGCCATGAGCGACGAAACAGGGCGTTCGCGCGACGTGTCGCGTGCTCGTTTTCGCGCGATCGCTCGGTTCTCCAGGTTTGGAAACCGTCGCTCATCGCCCGGAAGTGCTGGGCTCAAGCAAGCCAATAGCGAAAAACCGGAAAAGACGAAGACTACATAGGTGCACGTGGTCCTGCCCTAGTCACGTATGCGCAACAAGAAATAACGCAATGTTTATTACGCATGCGCATATAAAAAATGCTGCAAGGCAATAATAAACACTTTCCGTTCCATTGCACAACAATATATCTTATTTTTAAATTGGAAACCGCTCGCTACGCGGTTTTCTTGGTGCGAGTTGACGGCCTCATGCCAGCAACAGTGGAGTTCGCTCGCCGAAGCCGTCGCGTGAATGAGGTTTGCCTGCGCTAGCGACTAAAATCGCGCGAAGACGATATACGTCGCATCGCTCGTCGCTGTCGCGTGCATTTTCATGAAGTTTGGGCATGTAAAGGTTTGTACATACGTATACCCGAGCGCGTCTCTCGTGTTGCGAGCGCGATCTTATCGGGCGTCCGTCCAAGCGCGCCTATACGCATATCGCCTTACAAATAAGACCCTGGCTGCAGACGAGAGCCAGATATGTGCGCTACGCGCGCTACTATATACTACGTCGCCAACTCGCCCGGGGTCAACGGCGAGGCGCGAAACACGACGCGGTCGTCTGAAAAGCGCGCGAGAACGATATGGCGGGAAAAGGGGGAGCGGGTGTGTTTGCGTCTGAGAGAGAATGTGTGGGCGGGATTTGGTACGTGTTGGGATTTCTGCAGCTTCGCTCTGGCTGTATGACCGAAACGTCCGTGGTGTTTGGTTGACTAGCAGGCAACGCGCACGTGGCCATTTTTTGTTTAAGTTTATGAAGTTTATTCGTCATTGAAGCATACACCTTTATCCAATGGTTATTTTTGTTTATTCATGTCAATGGTTACCATATCAATGGTTATTTTTTCTTCGTGCAGCAAAAGACTGGAATGACCTCTCCCACCATATTGTAGCAATCACCTGTCCATCAACATTTATGCATAGCGTCACAAGCCATTTTTCAAGCTGATTCGTGGCTTTTTTTGTACGTTTTTTGTAACCCCACCCCTTATGTAATGTCCCCCTGGGGACCTTAAAGGTAATAAAATGAAATGAAATGGGAAGGGAGGGGGCGAAAAGGCAACTAAATGTCTGACAATGCGCCAATCCCCGCCCAGACCAAAATAATGCACAACACTGAGTATATCTTTAGCGCACGAACACAAATTCAATACAGCGAGAGAAAGAAAAATGAAAAGAAGATACCGCGATTCAAGTACGATAGTCTTTCTTGGGATACTTGAACGCCGAAAGTTAAGTTTGTCTGTCACGTGATTCGGCCGCCCAGCCATCTAGAACTGGTGGCTGCGTTCACACTTGCGAACATTGCCGATCAAAAATCCCGTTAGAGTTTTTAACTTTGGGACCCTCGTCTGTATATTAATATTACTGTACTACTTTTTTGTAAAAAAAAAAGCAAGTACCACGCATATCTGAGGCGCAACATCAATAGGTAAGTATTGGGTGGTGTGTTCATTTACTAGAGAAATGCATAGATTCTAGAGACGCTAGTGTTTATTACGCTGCGTTGAAAATAATGTGACGCTATTCACGAAAAAAAAAAAAAAACCCTCTGCCGACGGTATGATGCTGCCACCTGGCAGGACGGAAATTATACGAGAACAGCATCACAAGTAGCCGCGGATGAGAGACCAGAACTACATGCTGAAGCAGAATCGCGAGTTGGTGGATGTTCATCGTGGAATGCTTTACAGCGCAACGGACTAGATACGGACAAAGAAGGGACACAACGCTGAACTCTCAACTGAAATTTATTTGGAACAAGAAAGGACACATGTACGAACACCTTATGTCGCAAGCTTTCGATACACAGATTGCCCGCCTTGAAAATTGCGGCTTTCCGAATGACGTGATTTGCTCCGTGTCGGAAAAAACTTATATCAAAGAGTCAAGAAGTTTCATCGCCATGACTCTAGTGCCCCAGAGATTAGCAAGAAAAAGAGGCATGCAGTTATTCCATACACACACAGTACCGCGCATGGTTTGAAAAACATTGGTGCTCGTTATGGCGTAAACGTGATGTTCTCAGCACGCAATAAAGTGGGTAATGTGTGCGCCTTGGTGGATAGAGCGTTGTGTCAGCAGCCAGGGAAAGGAGAAAGAAAATATGTAGCCAATCATGTCCACATATATGTGCCTTGTGCTACTGGCGTAGCTAACGTGGTTGCTTGGGCGAGTTGGTACGACATGATTCACATAAAAAACAGCGCCAAAAACGAGAGACAAGAAAAAGAAGGAGACAGACAGCGGCACTGGAAAGCCATAAACTACTGGCGTAGTTTATGGCTTTCCACTATCTTGCGGCTGCGAATACGTATAGGCCACACAGGCCGGTTTATTAACGTGCGCTTACGAGAGCATGAGCTGACACCAGCAGGTGCTGCAATCGCGTCTCATTTGGCAGCGCATTGTAGATCATGCGGATGTGTGCCCTACTTGCAGAAAAGTTGCGCCCCGCCGCGGTGGTCTAGTGGCTAAGGTACTCGGCTGCTGACCCGCAGGGTGCGGGCTCGAATCCCGGCTGCGGCGGCTGCATTTCCGATGGAGGCGGAAATGTTGTAGGCCCGTGTGCTCAGAATCGGGTGCACGTTAAAGAACCCCAGGTGGTCTAAATTTCCGGAGCCCTCCACTATGGCGTCTCTCATAATCAAATGGTGGTTTTGGGGCGTTAAACCCCACATATCAATCAATCAATCAATCAATCAATCAATCAGAAAAGTTCCATCAAATGTGGACCAGCGCACGCGTGGACCAGACATGTGGACCAGCGCACGCGTGAGATAGCCGAAACTTTTTTTTTTTCATTAAAGCCAATAACGAGTGCATAAGTCATCCATCCATCACTCTTCGAGATGAAGGACATAACTTCCTGTTAGACAAGACGAGAAGCGTGTTGTATACTGTAACACATCTTCCCATGCGCGCAGTTTTGATGACTCATTGTCTTCTACGTATGTCCTTTCTTTTTCCAAATAAATTTCAGTAGATAGTTCAGCGCTGTGTCCTTTTTCTCTGTCCGTATCTAACCCGTTGCGCTGTAAAATGTTCCACGATGCTCATGCAGGGCGGCCGGCAGAAGACTACATGTCGTCATTCGGCGACATTTGCAGCGTAGCCACAGGTACGCGGCCTTTTTTTTTTTTTTTCGGGGAGGCCCGGCTAGACAGGCGCTGACCTTTTATTTACAAGTGCTTCTGCGTGCGCCTGTATGTATGCGCTTATATATACGCATGTAAACTGTAAAAACTGCCGCCCACCCCCCCTCAAGCAAGCTGGGGGAATCGAAGTGCAATGAAATTTCAAATAATGGTTCTGGAGACTCCGATACTGTGAAGAATTCCAGGCGATCGAGATTATCCGGCGTCCACCACTGCCGTGAGCTCGGGTCGCTTTTTGGACGTTTAAATCCCACACGGACAAACACAAACCTTGACGCATTTGTCTACGACCACTGGAAGGAAAGATCGGCCACCTCCGACCAAGCATCGGCGTCGTGCGATGACGTCACAATGTGACGTCATGTGGAGACGTTATCACGCGGTGGTATCTTTCGCATCGCTCCTGTTGCCAACGGCCACTTCTCGCGTTTGGTGAGGCATCTACGGTTTTCGCGTTAACAGAGAGTTTTAGTACTGCGGAATGGCGCTATGTACGCATCACGCAAGCGCCTTGCGTCACGTGGCCCTTAATCACGTTGCCACTAATCGGCTTTTAGTACGCCGTAGTACCACAGAACACCTACCAGTACCCGCGTACGTAACGAGCGTGTTGCGCCATCTGGTAGATCAAAATAGAAGCACGTGTTGTTGACAGCCAGTGTGAGCCAATCCAAGTGTTATAGCCAGATTATGGCCATATTTTAAGCCACAGAGCCGGTCGGTGCTTGCCTTCGATGCCGCCATTTTGCAAAACGAAGTCTCGCGCTGTCGCGAACTTGTTCGAGAGCGGCGTGATCAGCTCATACGTACGCACGCATCTCATGCGTGCGTACGTAGCGGCTGCGTACGTAATGCGATACGTGCGCGTTCCGGTCTGCGCACTACGCAGAACGTGGCGTCCTTACGTACGCAACGCCGCGACGTACGCAGCGTACGCAGTACTAAAACTCTCTATTAACGATGACACCAATTAAGCTCCCCATTAACTGCGACGTTGCCTGCATGCGGTGCGAAATAAAGAAGCGCCATCTACTCGCCGCAGCTGTCGATATAGCGCTGTATACGCGAAGACGGGCGCCCACAAAGGGCTCCGTCCTCTCTCCCGTCGCATCCATCAGCCTTGACCAGCTAATCCCGATCCGCGACTGCTCGCGCACGTCGATGACACGGTGCATTATTATATACAGCTGCGTATATAAGCGAGAGCACTGCGCGCGCGTTGTTGTGTAGAGGTCTCGCCGTCACGATGACATGTCCCTGCACCGAATTGTAATAAGTGGGGCGAAGTCGCGAGGAGAAAAAAAAAAGGGGGCCGGAAAGCACTGCCATTGCTTGGCAGTGCGTGACGCTATGAGGTCGAGTGGCCGCGCGCGTTATACTGACAGCACACATTGTCTCGTTTCAGTACTTTGCATCTTGTCGTCGTCATATAGATAGATAGATAGATAGATAGATAGATAGATAGATAAGATAGATAGATAGATAGATAGATATAGATAGATAGATAGATAGATAGATAGATAGATAGATAGATAGATAGATAGATAGATAGATAGATAGTGTGATGACGCCATGTTACATAACGATATGTGACGTCACTAGGTGATGGACGATTTTCTGCATCACCCGAACGTATATCAGCAAGACAGCGCGAAACGCTGTTCGGCGCCTGTTGTAGCGGAATAGCAGGGAGGCAGACTTTTTCTAGTGAGACGACGACAGAGAAAAAAACACGTCCTTTCAGTTTGAACGCATCACGAAGACTGCTTTATTCGTTCGCTATGTACCGCTGTCGTAGAGAGGGGAAGAAAAAAAGGAAAAGCAAACAGAGAAGTACAAGTATTGTCAAAGAGTTTCCTCCGCACCCCGCACGTGCGACGGTCTTCAAGGACAGATGGACAAACGCCTCCCGCGTGTTCGAGAAGGGTCATTGTGGCCCTCACCCCCCCTTTCCCTTCACGGCTGGGCTTGTAGGTAAAACAGATGTCAAGGACGCCCTTCGCTCCTTTCGCATTGCCCGTCACGCGAACCACCCGAAAACGAGTCCCTCCGAGTTGCCCCTCCTCCCCCTCTTCGCCGCGGAGTCTTTCAATTAACGCTCCCCCGAAGCGGGGGCTGCTTCCTAGTATGCGACAAATACAACAACCTCCCCCGGATGAGCGAACTCTTGAGCTCATTGTCGGTCGACTTCTAGCGGATAAAGCAGCTGTATTGGTCGTTTCACCACAGTTCCCCCGCTTAGTTTCAAACTGCAGGCCCGCACCCTGCCGTCCCTGCCCTTGAACGTTTCCTTGATTCTGGCGATCTTCCACATGTGTCGTTTGAGATGATCTTCCTTTAAAAGAACTAAATCGTCTATCTTTAGGTCACTCGATGTCGTTGGCCGGGACAGATGCGCCGATCGAAGCTCCAATAAGTACTCTCTCCGCCACCGTCTCCAGAATCCTTCAGCCATGGCAGACCGGTACTTCCAGCGTCGTGAGATATGCGCGTCACCGCCCGGAATTTCGGCTGGCAGGTGGTGTGGAGGAAGGGTTGTCAGCTTTCTTCCGACGAGGAAGTGCGCCGGCGACAGTGGTTCTGGCTCTTGAGCATCATCGTAGGTGAAAGTCAATGGGCGTGAGTTTATTACGGCCTCGACTTCGTACAAGACAGTTGTGAGTTCTTCAAAGCTTAAACTGCTCCGACCTAACACCTTGCGCAACGCTACCTTCACCGATCGCACCAACCGTTCCCAGAATCCGCCCCACCAAGCTGCCCTTTCAACAATAAACTTCCACCTGATCTGGTTTCCGGCGAAGTATGACTGCATTTCCTCTGATTTTAGTAGCGTGAACATTGCATTCAGATCTTTTGCTGCTCTCTTGAAGGTTAGCGCGTTGTCCGAATAAATAGTCGAGCAGATTCCCCTGCGAGCCACGAAGCGCTTGAAAGCCAGGAGAAAGGCTGTAGTCGACATGTCGCTAACGAGCTCAAGATGGACGGCACGTGTCACAGCGCAGGTTAAAATTGCGATGTAACATTTTCGGGCACCGCGCGACTCTTGACAAATCAAGGTCCTGCGAAATCGATGCCGACAGTGTCGAACGGATTTCCTTCTGTTACTCTGTCAGCTGGAAGTGGTGCCACTGGTTCCGTGGCTTGAGGGCAACTTTGTTTGCGACAGATGAGGCACTGCTTGATAACCTTTTTTACGGCCTGGCGCCCTCGGATGATCCAATACGACTCTCGCAATGACGCCAAGGTGTCCGCGCACCCCTGAGTGTAGCATTCTCACGTGCTCTTTCCTTATGAGCAGTAGCGTGAAGGGATGAGTGCTAGGTAGAATGATGGGATGTTTAGTCTCTTCGTGGTTGTCGGTGAATTGCAAGCGTCCACCAACTCGCATGAGACCTTCCCCGTCAAGGTACGGACTGAGTGGCAGAACAGGAGAGCCTTTGTGCAGTGGTCTTTGGGCTTTCAAGTTGGAAATGTCGTCACTGAATGCTTCTCCTTGAGTTGTTGTCAACCAGTACCTCTCAGCATCGATCACCTCTTCAGCTCGTAGCGGACCACCTTTCCTTCCTTTCCCGCGGCGGCAATTGTTGACAAAGCGGCGGACCCACGCAGTTAAGCGCACAACTCTGCTGCATGAGCTGAACTCCTCTACTTTCAGCACTGCCTCGAACGGCGATGATATTACGGGCATCACCGTCACTTTTCGCTCTTCCAGGTGGCATTCTACTGCCCCTGGGCTCTGCTCACCGGTCGTTGGCCAATGCGTCTTATCCTTGTGAAGCCAGTGTGGTCCTCTCCACCACAATTCGCTTTCTAACAAGGCTGATGGGAGGATACCGCGAGTGATTAGGTCAGCGGGGTTGTCTAGTCCTGGGCAGTGCCTCCAATCCTCGGGATCAGTCAGCGCCTGAACCTCTGATACTCGGTTTGCCACGAAGGGCTTCCATCTGGCAGCGTTTCCTTTAATCCAGTGCATAGCCACTGTGGAATCGGTCCAAAGGATGGCAGCAGCATTCTGGAGGTTCAAGGCCTTGGCAACGTAGTGGCACAGTCGAGCACCAATGAGGGCCCCCATCAGCTCTAGTCGGGGTAACGAGAGGCGCTTCAAAGGGGCAACTCTTGATTTGGCCATAATTAGGCTTATATTGATTATTCCTTGAGCAGACTTGCATGCAACGTATCCGACAGCACCGTAGGCCTTTGGGCTGGCATCGCAGAAAATGTGCAACACCTTCTCTGTCTTTTCATCTCGGAAATCCCTTGCGATGATCCTCGGAATGGACACCGCCTTGATGCATTGAAGCTCTTCACACCAGCACTTCCACTCCGCTTGCATCAATTCTGGCAAGGGGTCGTCCCAACCCGCTCCCAACTCCCACAACCTTTGGAACATTGTCTTTACGTACAGTGTTGTAGGAGCAATAAACCCAAAGGGGTCGAAAATTCTGGCTGAGACTTGCAATACGAATCTCTTGCTGTCGGCTCTGGTGGTGAGGAATTCAAGAAGTGAGGTCAGATTGTACTCGAAGTTATCTGTATGAGCATTCCAACCTACTCCCAATACCTTGGTGGCTGCAGGAAGTTCGGCATTTGCATTCCTCTTCGCCACGTTCCCATCCTCTATGAAGTTGACTAAATCGTGGTCGTTAGACATCCACTTGTGGAGCCGCATTCCTGCTTGAGATAATATATCGCTTGATTCCTGGCATAGCACTTTACCCTGTTCGAGGGTGTCGACCCCTGTCACAAGGTCGTCAACATAGAGATGGCTGCGCAGGATGTTCGCAGTCTCAGCATACTGCTCTGGGAGTCCTTCAAGATGGTGTCGTAATGTTGCGGCTAATAGGAATGGGCTGGATGTAACACCGAACGGAACGCGCGTCATCCGGTAGGCCGCCACCGCTGGAAGTTCTTCACCTTTCTTCGGAGTGGCAGCATACCAGAGAAACCGCACAGCGTTCCGGTCACCCTCTGACAGAGATATTTGAAGGAATGCCCTTTCAATATCCGCGACGATGCCGATGTTGTAAGTGCGGAAGTTGATCAACAAATCAATGAGCTCTGGATTAAGTTTTGGACCACTTTCCAAAACATCATTCAGTGAGAGGCGATCTTTGGCACTTGATGATGCGTCGAACACCACCCTCACTTTTGTTGTCAGGCTTTCTTGTCGAACAACTGCTTGATGTGGCATGTAATACACCGGACCTTCCGAAGCGCTGCAATGCTTGTTGGCTGGCTCTGCATAGCCCTTTTCGATGTATTCTCGGATGCAGGCGTCATATTCCACGATCAAGGAATCTCCCTTCAAAAGGCGCGTCGTGTTGGCTCTAAGACGCTTCGCGGCGCACTCGTAGTTGTCGTCGAGCTCATCAACCATAGGCTTCCAGGGGAAAGACACTGTGTACCGCCCATGCTCAAATTTGACGGTTTCTTTGTAGTGCTGTTGGATTGCGTCTTGGTGGCGAGCTGGTTCGTGTTCCTTGATACCAATGTGTTCGAGCTCCCAGAATGACCTCAACTGCGCTGATATTTCTTTGTTAGTTTGTTCGCTCACTGCTACTCGCATTACGCCAGCAACAGAGGGACAGACTCCTGGTGACCCTTTTGCGCCTACCTGGCCCTGGACTGTCCACCCAAATGCAGTTTCTACTGCCATCAGCTTGGAGGTTAGGCGCTTAGTGGATCCCGTGACATTTCCCAATAATGATCAGCGCCGATCAGAAGATCAATGTTTTCACTTCCGTCACCCTGCGCGACGTCCGCGACTGGCAAGCCAAATTTCGAAAGTTCCAGAAGAACTGACTTTAAAGGCGCAGCCATTATATCTGCGCAGATGCAGGGAACTTCGAGGGCCTCCACTCGCGCCCTTTTCCCGTCGTACTGGCTTTGCAGCCACAGCTCGACCAGACGCGCTTTAGTGCGGGTTATAGCGGACTTGTCGCCGAAGGCATAGATTTTAAGTTCCTCTTCCCCAAGCACGTTCAACTGCAGTCTTTCAGACAACTTGCGATGGATGAACGTCCTTTGACTGCCACCATCTAGGAGAAGCCTGACAAGCGTACTTTTGTGCGGTCCCACTGTCCAAGCTCGTGCTGTTTGCAGAAGAAACTGATGCCCCTCCATGCACATAAATTTCTCCTCTGAGCCTAGAGAAGACTTTAGCACTGTGGCTTGTCCTGTCGCTGGTGGAGAGGATGCATTCTGTTCACCACTGCCACGGTATTCTCTGAAATCAGGATCACACATAGCCGTGAGGTGTTTTCCGCTACAGTTGGCACACCTGAGCCATTTGGCCTTACGGCACTCTCTTGACGTGTGCCCCTTTACTGTGCAGCGGAAACATCTATTCTCACGCTTCAGCATTTCTCTTTTATCAGCTGCCGACATCTCTGCATCGCAGTCACCGCTTTCGTGGCACCCTGACGAACAAAACAGACACCCTTTTCTCTCCTTGGTCATGGTATGCAGTGCAGCGGCTGAAGACATTCTCGCCGCTTAAAGGTGCTGTTACGGTTTTCGACAGACGATTCTACACACATGCCCCTTGGTGTTTCGGCCCGCTGTATAATCTCCCGTGCCTCTACCTCGACTCTCAAAAAATGCGCAAATGCCTCCAGTTCACTGCCTCCTGTAGTAGCGCCCTTTCGTCGACAGTATTCGAGATGAAGGTCCGCAGGCACCGCCTTCTTTACTACTGTCAGGAGCAGAGCTCCGTACGTGCTGACACCGACGCCAAGAGAAGTGAGGCTCCGTACACCTCTCTCTACTTCGTCAACGAGGCTCCGAAGTTGGCTGAGGTTCCGCGAGTCACGCACTGACTTGATATTGAGCAGTCTGGACATGTGATCCTCGATTATGGCTTCTTTACGACCGAACCTTTCCTTTAACAGCGAGAGAGCAACTTCGTAGTTTCCGTCGGACAAATCAAGACCCGCAACGGCAGCCGCTGCTTTTCCTGTTAAGTAACTGTTCAGGTACTTGAACTTGTCCACGTTTGACAGGTGGTGGTTAGCGTTTATTGTCGTGTCGAACTGACTCCAAAAGCCTTGCCACTGTCGAAGCTCGCCGTTGAACTTTGCTATCTCTAGTTTTGGCAGCTTTACTGTGGGGGTTACTTGCGGGATGTTACGGCTAGATTCTCTTTGATCTGAGGAACTTGAGGTGCGATCTAGCGAAGCGCTCACTGATGCGGCGTTAGTGCAGCTAAGCTCACGTAGCATGAGCTGTACTTTAGTCCTTGCTACGTTGATCTTTTCTTTGTAGTTCTCGGAGCATGCAATTTCCTCTTCTAATGCATCATCTTCTACGCCAATCTCAATTTCCCGATCTAGCTCTTTGAGTGAGTCTTCCTTAAGGTGAGAAGGTTGATCTTTTCTTCAAGCTCACCGAGTGACGCGTCGTCCTCCATGGTAGCGATGTCATTGAGCAGCTTTGTTGTTGACGTTCGCACCACGGCCCTTTTGCGCTTCATCCTGTCGATGTCCATCTTGGGTCCCTTATTCCGGGTTTCGGCACCAAAAAATGTTGTAGCGGAATAGCAGGGAGGCAGAGTTTTTCTAGTGAGACGACGACAGAGAAAAAAACACGTCCTTTCAGTTTGAACGCATCACGAAGACTGCTTTATTCGTTCGCTATGTACCGCTGTCGTAGAGAGGGGAAGAAAAAAAGGAAAAGCAAACAGAGAAGTACAAGTATTGTCAAAGAGTTTCCTCCGCACCCCGCACGTGCGACGGTCTTCAAGGACAGATGGACAAACGCCTCCCGCGTGTTCGAGAAGGGTCATTGTGGCCCTCACCCCCCCTTTCCCTTCACGGCTGGGCTTGTAGGTAAAACAGATGTCAAGGACGCCCTTCGCTCCTTTCGCATTGCCCGTCACGCGAACCACCCGAAAACGAGTCCCTCCGAGTTGCCCCTCCTCCCCCTCTTCGCCGCGGAGTCTTTCAATTAACGCTCCCCCGAAGCGGGGGCTGCTTCCTAGTATGCGACAAATACAACAGCGCCTATACGGTCCATTTGCGCGTTGCATTAAACGTGTCGGTATAGTCGGCTAAAGATTATGTATAGTTCGCGCGAAACTACAAAAACAAAAAGTTGACACAATTGCTCACAACCACACGCGTACACACAACCACAGACTTACAGACATACATACGTAAGTACTACATACATACGTACGTTACGTACATACATACAACATACATACATACATACATACGCACACAGAGTTCTCAAAATAACTAGAGGCACTCTGCGCTGCGATCGTTCACGACCATGGGAATTATGGGTAGTCACAACACATTTGCCTAGTCTTCGTACTTGCGGGGCGGCGAAATCGTACTTGCGGCTGTCGTTTATTGCTGTGTTCGGTTTGGTTGTGAAATAAAAACGCGCCGTCTACTCGCCGCAGCTGTCGATATAGCGCTGTACGCGAAGACGGGCGCCCACAAAAGGCTCCATCCTCTCTCTCCCGTCGCATCCATCAGCCTTGACCAGCTAATCCCGATCCGCGACTGCTCGCGCACGTCGACGACACGGTGCACCGTTATAATATATAACTGCGTATATAAGCGAGAGCACAGCGCGCGCGTTGTTGTGTAGAGGTCTCGCCGTCACGATGACATGTCCCTGCACCGAATTGTAATAAGTGGGGCGAAGTCGCGAGGGGGAAAAAAAAAGCCGGAAAACACTGCCATTGCTTGGCAGTGCGTGACGCTATGAGGTCGAGTGGCCGCGCGCGTTATACTGACAGCACACATCGTCTCGTTTCAGTACTTTGCATCTTGTCGTCGCCATATTCATAGATAGATAGATAGATAGATAGATAGATAGATAGATAGATAGATAGATAGATAGATAGATAGATAGATAGATAGATAGATAGATAGATAGATAGATAGATAGATAGATAGATAGATAGATAGATAGATAGTGTGATGACGCCATGTTACATAACGATCTGCGACGTCACTAGGTGATGGACGATTTTCTGCATAACCCGATCGTATATCAGCAAGACAGCGCGCGAAACGCTGTTCGGCGCCTACGGTCCATTTGCGCGTTGCATGAAACGTGTCGGTATAGTCGGCTAAAGATTATGTAGTTCGCGCGAAACTACGAAAACAAAAAGTTGACACAATTTGCTCAACTGCATTTCCGATGGAGGCGGAAATGTTGTAGGCCCGTGTACTCAGATTTGGGTGCACGTTAAAGAACCCCAGGTGGTCGAAATTTCCGGAGCCCTCCACTACGGCGTCTCTCATAATCATATGGTGGTTTTGGGACGTTAAACCCCACATATCAATCAAACAATTTGCTCAAAACCACACGCATACACACAACCACATACATACATACATACATACATACATACATACATACATACATACATACATACATACATACATACATACATCATGATAGTATAGATGTACGTATTGGCGCAGCCAGCGACATGTCCGGGTACCCACTGACTCAGCCGTCGACCGTTAGCCGACGTGTTGTTTCCTCGTGCTTGCGCCCGTTCTGTTATGCATCACGGTGCAAGTTTGAACAACTATCAGCGGCTGGTGAGGCGAGTTGATGTAGCAACTCGATAGGGGCACTTGAAGTACTACATAGACTCTACGAAAGGCCGAACGGCAATGTGGGCCCCAAGCCAATCTTATATAGGATATGAGCCTTAAATGTTTATCACCTCCCGTATCCATTTCCTTCTCCTTTTTGATGTCGTCGCCCGCTCGTTACGGTGCGTCATAAACATTTCCCTTTTCCGCTGTCCTTGACCCGTCAACGGGCCTGGTGCATTGGTTTGTCACGCCAATCTGTGGACCCTTTGATATGTTTACGCGCAATCGCACAAAAACACACACGCACGCCAAAGTGACAGATAAGCCGTGATAATCGCGGTGAGTGAGCGGTGCCACCAATAACAAAAAGATATTTGTCATTGTAGCGATGAAAACCAAATTTGGATGACGATAGTTATAGCGCGAGAACAGAACGACGACACAGAGACAAGAAGGACACGCCATACCAACTATCCCAAGCTGCCACGCTTTTAAATTTGGAAGTTTGATCACACGACGTCTATTCCAGCAGTGCACGTATGTCTAGAACAAGATTCAGACTTTTAAGGTATGCGGCCCCTAAAGCGTATACAATGTATATTATTATAGTGAGCGCATACTATCGAAACCGCATAACGAATACACTGGTTAACTAATGTTGGCTCTCCGCTGTAAGAGCATCAAGAATGCCTTCATTCAGTTTCAATCGATAAGTTATTTCATAATTGGCTAATTTAGCAACCGATAAAATGCTCAGATGATGCTTCCCAACGCAGAATACTGCAACACATTGTTCGGTGGGTCAGTTGTCTGCTGATGTGCTCAGACTTGCAGGTAACTTCACGTTACACTCTACATGACTAGTAACTATAATAATATAGACTAGGCTTCTGTAGGCCACCACGTACCGTTCTTTGCCGCCGACTTCTCTGCTGCCCTTCCCAGTAAGAGGTCCTCCGGGGGCAGGTCCCCCTGAAGCAGCTGATTGGCCGCTGCGAGCGCGGCACGGGCTCCCAGCCGACCGCTGCGCCCTCCGTCGGCAGGCGTGGAACACCGACTTGTAGGGCTGCGCAGGAGAGTTTCAGTGAGTGACGATCGTATACATCACAACACCATATAAGATTACTGCTAGAATGTGTGTGTATTGATGAATCAATCGATTTGTTGATTAAATTAGCTAATTTATTGAGTACTGGCTCCCTGATTGACTGACCGATAGACACATTTGAACGCTGTACTACTATAACAATAGAGAGTTTTTGCTTGCACGAATACTTTTTCACGTTACCGAATACTTTTCGTATACCGTGTTACCGGTGCCCGAGTTTTAGCAGCGTTTTGCTAAGCATACGTGAACCTTTACGTTCGCACGTAAAAGTTTATACGTTCGCCGATGATGATGATCATGGATGCACACATATACGTTTTTTTCTTTTAAATAAAACTCAATCAGCGCTGCGGCGCAAATATAATAACTTTTAACGTGTAAAACTATCAAGTGTTTTGGTGCTATATAATCGCCTAAGCCCATTAAAGTTGACTGCGTGCAGAAAAGGCTTTAAGTAGCCACCGCATGGTTCTTTAAGCCTCTACGGTTAAACCTCTCTGGTTGAACGGTCAGCGGCTGGCCGCATTCGCAAAGACGTGGTCGTCGATATGGCGACGAGTGTGCTCCAAGATCCATTCCTGGCCCGAAATCTTCCGTGGAAGTACATCGACGACTTACTGGGCGTGGGTTTTACGTTCCGAAACAACGATGTGGTTGTGAGGGGGGGCTCCGGAAAGTTACGCCATCTGGTGTTCCTTTGCGTTCACCTAAGCTTAAGCCGTGGCCTCCGAGATCGGCTGCCGGTGGTGCGCCGCCGGCAGCCGATCGCGGAGGCCACGCTTAAGTACATGCCTCAAGCATATCGTCTACATCTTAATGCGGCCGCCGTGGTTCGGGATTCGATCCCGCGAACTTCGGGCGAGCATTCGAGCACTGTAACCAGCGGGCTTCCGCGGCGGTACACACTCACTGTACAAGTAGATCGATAATGGACTTTTGCTTCCAGAATGAGATGCATGCATTGTTTGCTTCATTCATTATATGACACCATCCATTCATTAACACTATGTGATTACCGTTTGTGTAAGGCGTATAAACAAGAGGTAAAAAAAAAACAGATCAGCTTTTCTTAGGCGCCTTTCCACGTTACAGGAAAACACCCCCTGTACGTGCGACGCGTAAAAGGGAGTACTGGAAAATACCGACAGTGCGAACGATATATGGCAAACAGACACTCGGCAACAACTTCCCAACTGAAACGTTCCGTATGCGAGACCAATGTTTCCGTATGTTTCCATACAGAATACATTTGTTTCCCACATATTTCCGTAAGATTCTTACGGAAACATACGGAATCATTGGACATCGCATACGGAACGTTTCAGTGGAGAATTGCCAAGATTATTAAACAGATTAATTTGCGAAGGGCTACAATTAGAGAACATGTCTTTTAAAGCCATACACAGGTATTTTGAACCCGAGACAAATAATTCTTGAAAAGCATTCTTCTGATGCCTGTCATTTCTAAATCTCGCGCGCACGAATGATTAAGGCCACGTAGGAAGAACGTTATTGTAATGCGGTATTTTTCTTCTTCTTTTTCTTTGTCTCTGCAAAGGATTGCAATTTTCTAAACTTAGATATTATTGTTTATCTTTCTCTGTATATGTCTTGTATTATATTATGCTGATTTGTGTTGGTTTCTTGTTGTTGCATCGCTGCTGTTAAGCGCCAGTGAGGGGCCAGCAGCGGCCTCGTCAAGCTGTCCAAACGACAGCTTTTTCCTTTCGCCCCGTCGTATCATTCATTGTATTCATGCGAAAAGTAAAGCCATTGTCAAAGTCATTCATTACTTGACTGACAGAATTATTGCTTGATTGATAAACGCACGTTCCAACACTGCACAAACAGGCAGATAACATGCTGCTATATACCGAGATGCGTACATTGATTGATCGATTGATTGACGACTGGGTGACCGATCAAAGAAGGAAGGTCATAGCAGACAGCGATCGTCCGTCGTGTTTGCGCTGTTTTTTTTTGGGGGGGGGGGGAAATACTGGCTGATCGATATCTGGGGTTTAACGTCCCAAAACCACCACATGATTATGAGCGACGCCGTATTGGAAGGCTACGTAAATTTTGACCACCTGGGGTTCTTTAACGCGCACCCAAATCTGAGCAGAACGGGTCTACAGCACTTTCGCCTCCATCGAAAATGCAGCCGCTGTAGCCCGTATTTGAGCCCGCGACCTGCGGGTCAGCAGCCGAGTAATTTTATCCACTAGACCACCGCGGCGGGCCTATGTGAAATACTAAAGACGGAAAAGCGTGAAATGTATGAACGCGTTCACTATACCAGCCGGACTTGCCCCCGTATTCTAAAACGTCCCTTCACTCAACGCTTGCCCCGCCGCGGTGGTCTAGTGGCTAAGGTACTCGGCTGCTGACCCGCAGGTCGCGGGACCTAATCCCGGCTGCATTTCCGATGAAGCCGGAAATGTTGTAGGCCCGTGTGCTCAGATTTGGGTGCACGTTAAAGAACCCCAGGTGGTCGAAATTCCCGGAGCCCTCCACTACGGCATCTCTCGTAATCATAGCGTGGTTTTGGGAATGTTAAACCCCACAAATCAATCAATTCACTCGACGCTTCAGCTTCACTTGAGAAAGCCGATGGGAGCGCCGTCTCTATCTATGCACGGAAAGTCACTGCATATCAGCGATATAATAATCTGCTGCGATTTTTGCGTAGCGCAGCGTCATTTTCAGCCGAGCATGCAGCGGCGCAGTGCTCAACTCGGCCAAGTGAAGGGTAAAAATCGAGTCGAGGAGCGTTTCTGAATTCGGGGGTTGGTCGCGCGGGCGCGGACTATTTGGCGACGCGGTGACGTCAGCGCGATGTCCGTCAGTTCAGCATCACTCGAGCGTCAGCCGCGGTTTCGTATGCAGTGCTTGCGCGCCCCCTTCCGTCGGGACCAAAGGAAAGCTGGTTTGCGCAACAGTGGGTGTGTTGTTGGATGCGTTGTCTTCCCGCCCGGGGTTTTCGTTGCGAGAAGAATTTCCGCCGCCGCCGCCGGGTGAAGACGTTTCGACACGTCTGGTGGATGCGTCGTCTTCCCGCCCGGGGTTTTCGTTGCGAGAAGAATTTCCGCCGCCGCCGCCGGGTGAAAACGTTTCGACACGTCTGGTGGATGCGTCGTCTTCCCGCCCGGGGTTTTCGTTGCGAGAAGAATTTCCGCCGCCGCCGCCGGGTGAAAACGTTTCGACACGTCTGGTGGATGCGTCGTCTTCCCGCCCGGGGTTTTCGTTGCGAGAGGAATTTCCGCCGCCGCCGCCGCCGGATGAAAGCGTTTCGACACGTCTGGTGCGGTGAGTCTCGCCTGTTCTCGCGCATAACGTGGCGAGCGGGACGCGCCACCCTTTTATCGCGGCCAAGTTTCCTGGCTCTCAGCGCCATGTCGGAAACTGATTAGAATTGCTCATTAATACTGAGTCTCTGGACTGGCTGGCCACGTCTTGGCTTATTGAGTGGTGTGTTGAATTTTTTTTTCTTGAATGGCCGATGACTGACCCAACTGGCTGGCTGATTGGCTGAACTGACTGATATTATAGGTTGATTGACTGGACAAACCTGGCTGACAGATCGCAAGTGTAGATGCTTGGGACGCTCTTTACTGCAGCACTCTATTCTGCTCTGTTTTATTTTTTTCCCCTATGTTTTTTGGCTGTGAAACTAGCCATCATGACAGGTCGCGTGATTGGTTGATTGAACGGGCTGTTTAACTGTTTGATTGGAATGACTGGATGATTAGTAACTGATTAGGCTGGCTGTCTCACCACTGGTATAGCCAGAGGTGTCTCAAAGCATCCATTCTTGCAAAAAAAAAAAAATGGTGACGCGTCTCTAACTTAATGATTGGTTTCAATCTATCAATCATTGACTGGTTTAGTCATTGGATTGACTGGCTGATGATTGATAAAACAATTGCAGTCCAGTCAACGGACTGTTTCCTTGCTTTGTTGGCTGTTACAATCTGGCTGAGAGACAAGAGGCGTTTGCAGGAATTTTTTCGGGAGGAGGGCAGGGGAGGGGGGCTGCGGGTACCTCTCTTATGTGAAGAGGGGGCCGGGCATGCATTTGTGGTAGTGTGTCATTTCGTGTTCTATATCGGATGAGGAAAAAAATTCATGGTGTTTGGAAGGGGGGGCCTGGGCCCGGTATGCCACCCCCTGGCTGCGCCACTGTGACACTGATTGGTTGATTGATTGGACTGGCTTCTTTTGATTAGCTTGGTCGAATGTCTCATTCGATGACTGACTAACTGTACGTACGCAGTACAGAGAAACGTCGAATCAACTTAGGCTATAGTGACATTCCCCGTCAAAATGAGTGATCACCACAATCGGTTAAGTTTTCGTGCTCTATAAGGCTTATATTCGGACCAACATTACTCGCAGCGTCGGGCGCAATCACTCGCTAAAGCGCTGTGGCTGCTGAACACCGATTAGAGCTCGCTGACGCCTCTTTTCTTCTACTCTGGCACGCACTGTTCTCAATTCGTCGAAAGCGCAACACGTCCTTTTTTTTTTCTTGTTCGACTTATTAACCATGATTTAGATGCGGATTTTTAAACTCGTATAAAGCCTAAGAATGGGGTATGTTCATAAAGCAGAAATTATTAAAATTATATATCTATTATTCTTATAGAATATTATGTAGATAAAAATAAAGAAAGTTTAACGCTTACAAAATAGTGATAACAAATATTAAAACAAAATAAATAGTTATTCATCTTTATCTTCGTATGTGCATACACGGAGAGATAATAGTAACGTGTTTAGCTAGCTAACCGATCAGTTTCACTGAAATAGTTTCGCACAGCCAAGCAAACTTCCGCATTGCAAAATTCAAAAATGCAATTCTGCTTCTTTTCCTCTTTCTAATGTTGATAAGCCTGTAGAAGATGACGCACATCTAATATTATAAGATGGCTCACACAGCGAGAATATATA